TATCTTTTTGTGTCATTCTGTTCCTAGTTCTTTTCTCGCTAGTTCTAATGACATGACATGCATGCGGAAATTTTGGCCAGATCTTAGGAACTGATTTAATCTGGAATTCGATAACTAAAAAAAATACTTTTGAGGATGAAGAAAGAGTTGGAATACTTTGGAACTAAGGTCGAGTAAAATTCACCTTCAAATCATTGTGAAGATCGGGTTTGAGGATGTTTAATCAATTGATGTTTGTTGGAAAGTTTGTCACTAAGGGATGAAAAAATGTCTTGTGACCACGGCACACCAAGAAGACAAACATGTTCGTCAATGTTGTGATCACGAAAAGATATCATGTTTGATGTTCTTGAGGTTGGGAGGCCCTTTTTCTGCTACCTAAACACTTTATATCCTTTGCTACCCCTTTTGAGCATGTGTTATTTTTCTTTGACTACCCTCTTTTGGAATCAAGTTTAGAGTCAAAAAAAATCATGTCGCAAGAGTACAAACTGGAGCAATTCTTAGAAAGTTCAGAGAAAAAAGAAAAAAAAAGAATTGTCAAAGGTCCATGCCCTCAAAAATAGAAGTTGGGGCAAACAAAAAAAATAAAAAAGAGAAAAAAAAGAAAAGGAAAAAAAAGAGAAAAAAAGGAAAAAGGAAAAGAGAAACAGAAAGAAAGATGAAAAATAGTTTAGGCCAGATGTTTCAACTACGTTAGACATGATTCCTTTAAAATAAGGATATGTAGACAGCCTCACAGTTCGATCCAACCAAATAAGAATTTAAAAAAAAAAAAAAAAAAAGTAGAAAAAATAGAAAAATCCAAAAATCCCCAGCATCTGAAACTGGGGCAAAGATTTTATTTTATTTTTGAAAGAGTTGATTCCAAGAGTTGTAAGTCTACAACCCATCATTTTGAGTTTATTTTGAGCCTTCATGCCGACCTTTCTTTCCAATCCTATCCAAAAATCTTCCAAATAAAGACCTCCTAATATGCCTTTAAGAATGCCAAGAGACGCATGCAATGAGCAACAATTTTGACCCAACTTAGAACATCGTCGAGTTGCTCATAAAAAAGAGAGAAAGAAAAAGAAAAAGAAAAATGAGAGAGTCTTATTAGTGAAAACCCTCACGGGCACAATAAGGCGACGGTAAGCAGAGATGAATAGATGAGAGAGACTTGTTGGTGAAAACTCCTCGGGGCACCACTAGTTGAAAATGAGTCATGAAGCTAATGCAAAGAATTGACAGCCCGACTTCAAAGGTTATAAGAACGGTAAAAGGGAAGATTGGATTAGTTTGATAGATCAGGACGTTGAGTCCAAAATGCATGTCATGATCATTAAGGCTAGTTATTGAAAAAAAAAAGAAAAAAGAGAGAAAAAAACCCTTCCTACTATCCTTCCCGACACGGACATTTCTTGTTAATATTATTTCTTTGCATCATTTGTGTCCTTCCCTCTGAGTCAGTCCTTGTCAAAACAAGCAAGAAAAGATTTCAAAATCTGCTACCAACTTTTCGATTGCATAAAGCAAATTTGGCCAGCACTAAGTTGTTTCTGTCAATATACCTTGAGGATTCATACAAAGGCTTCCCCAAAAAGACTCTTGTCAGCCTACTTGGCGCAAGCAAAGATAACTGGTGATTCTCTCTAACAGACAAGTTGCTCAAAAGCAGAGAGTCATTCAAGATATCGGAAAATTTCACCTAAGCAGAGATCTCCAATTGGGATAAGGTTGTTTGAACTGCAAATACAAATGGTACTGGTGTGAAACAATCAGAGTTGGTGTAGAACAAAAGTCTTTTGAGACCGACTCAAGCTGATTGAGCAGAAACCAAGCTGTCTAAGACTCAAGGCCACAAACTGACCACCATTTTCAAAACTGACAAATTTTTCTTTGTTGAAACAGGAACAAAGAGTGCAAGGAAAGTGGTTCAAAAAAATGAAGAAGAAAAAGAGAAGAAGAGAAGAGCCGACAAAGGGAAGTTTCTCAAAACTTTGACTTTATTTGTTTTGCTATGATGCATAAAATCTTGCCATTGATCTTCACATTTTTCCTCCTAGGATAAAAAGTCCTAGTCTGATGGATTTTTCTTCCAATAAAAATCTTAGTCTAATGAATTTTTCTCCTAAGATAAGAAGACCTAGTCTGATGAACTGTCTCCTGGAATAAAAATCTTAGTCTGGCGAATTTTCTCCTAAGATAGAAAACCTAGTCTGATGAATTTTCTCCTAGGATCAAAATCTTAGTATGATGAATCTTTCTCCTAAGATACCAAAAAAAAAGTGACCTAGTCTGATGAATTTTCTCCTAGGATCAAAATCTTAGTATGATGAATCTTTCTCCTAAGATACCAAAAAAAAAGTGACCTAGTCTGATGAATTTTCTTCTAGGATCAAAATCTTAGTCTGATGAATCTTTCTCCTAAGATACCGAAAAAGAGACCTAGTCTGATGAACTTTCTCCTAGGATCAAAATCTTAGTCTGATGAATTTTTCTCCTAAGATAGAAAACCTAGTCTGATGAACTTTATCCTAGGATCACAATCTTAGTCTAATGAATTTTTCTCCTAAGATAGAAGATCTAGTCTGATGAATTTTTTCCTAGGATCAAAATCTTAGTCGGATGAATCTTTCTCCTAAGATAATAAATTAGAAGACCTAGTCTGATGACTTTTCTCCTAGGATCAAAATCTTAGTCTGATGAATTTTTCTCCTAAGATAGAAAATCTAGTCTGATGAACTTTCTCCTAGGATAGAAATCTTAGTCTGATGAATCTTTCTCCTAAGATACTAAAAAAAAGTGACCTAGTCTGATGAATTTTCTCTTAGGATCAAAATCTTAGTCTGATGAATCTTTCTCCTAAGATACCAAAAAAATAAACCTAATCTAATTAACTTTCTCCTAGGATCAAAATCTTAGTCTGATGAATCTTTCTCCTAAGATACCGAAAAAGAAACCTAGTCTGATGAACTTTCTCCTAGGATCAAAATCTTAGTCTGATGAATCTTTCTCCTAAGATACCCAAAAAAAAGAGAAAAAAGGAACTAGTCTGATAATTTTCTCCTAGGATAAACATCTTAGTCTGATGAATTTTTCTCCTAAGATAGAAAACCTAGTCCGACGAATTTTCTCCTAGGACAATAATTTTAAAAAAGAAGAAGTGGGAAGTTTGAAAAAAAAGGGGTCAATTGTTAGTTTTCTTAAGTTATCAATGTTTAGTTTTCTTGAAATCAGAGGCCCCGCATGGAGAATAGGGTCAGTCTTTACTTTAGTCCAGCTTAGTTTATAATTCTCCTAGTCTATTCTTTAGTTTACTCTCATCATTGCATCAATAGTATAAGTGGTTTACAATATTGCTAACAACTCACAAATCTTCCTAGTGCAAATTGGGCCAGAAAATTTTGTTTGTTTTGTTGGTTTTGGTTGCAGGCACCCACATGGAAAATAAGGGAACACAGAAAGTTTCAGCAATCAGGCGCCCACCTGGAGAACAAGGGAAAACGGTTCAAGTTTCGAAGGAAGACAAGTCAAGTTCAACAATCAGGCGCCCACCTGGAGAACAAGGGAAGACAACTCAAGTTTCAAGGGAAGGCATTTTCGAAGGAAGACAACTCAAGTTTCAAGGAAAAGCAGTTTCGAAGGAAGACAACTCCAGTTTCAAGGGAAAGCAGTTTCGAAGGAAGACAGTTCAAGTTTCAAGGAAAAATGGTTCAAGGTGCAAGGGAAAACAATGTCAAATAACAGGAGAAGACGGTTCAAGTTCAGCAATCAGGCGCCCACCTGGAAAAAAAAAGGGAATTCAATTCAGAATGCAATTCAGGTCAGCAACAAAAGAAGCTCACATCAAGAATGCGAGTCAGCAGTCCAAGATGATCAACAGAAGTTAGTCACAATCCAGAATAAAAAAATAAAAAATAAAAAAAGAACAAAAAGAAAGACAAGAAATGAATCCAAATGCAGAAGTTAATGAAAGATGTGAGCTGCTCAAGACAAGGCTGAGGTCACAAGCCCTGCATGTCCCGTCTTGGTTTGAAAAGCTAAAGAAGATTGAACCAACACTTGCGGCTAACAAGCATCAAGATTCAGATCAAAGTCTGCATGAAGAACCATTCAAGACTCAAGATCAAGCTTCAGAAGACTAATAGATAGGAATCTTGTAACTCGTAGCTGATAGGCTTAGTTAGTCTTTTTCATTTTTGGTTTTGATTTAATAACGGGACCACGGACCGGAACCTCAGCGGAACGGCACCTCGACCGGCTCTCCACCTCAGTATACTCCATCACTATTTTTACTTCTGAACTACACGTGCAAGATTCATTTATATCCAAGGATATGTGGGCAGCTCAGATACCAGAGCTCGGTCATATTTTCCTTTCTTTTAGCTTTCGGTTTCCCTAAATAAGGGTCGGGTCAAAAAATTTGTCCAGTCGTTCTTTTTCTGAAAACTATTCGTGTTTCCAGTCAAAGAGGGGCAGCTGTAGACATGTGATTTTTGACCCTCCTCGAAATTTTACCCATTTTAGCATGTAAATATTTAGTTTATGCTTAATATCGCTATTTCAGCTAATTTTGACTCTTTTACTTTATTTTGTCACAAAAATAAAAATTATAAAAAATATTTTAGTTTACGTATCTTTCGTAAATTTAAATAAAAAAAATATACAAAATAGTACCTTATCCTTATTTTTATATAATCTTGAAAACACAAAAAATAGTTTTATGATTTATAGTTTAGTTTAATTAATTAAGATTAGCTTTATATTTTTGTATTATAATTGTACATAATTTTAGAAGGAGGAATTACTTTTAGATTGGTTTATCCCGTCTATATAAATCTTGTAGTCTATTTTTTTTTTAGTTTTTGGCCTCATTCCCTAGCCCATAAGTCCTAGGCCCATACCCCTAACCTAATCCTCACCCCTATATAATAGTACCTAACACCTAAATATAGGTAGACCCAAAAATATAGAATCCGTCGTTTCTTCAGTGAAAATACAACAAAAAAGAGCTAGGGGGACTTTTCTTCTAGATCACGAAAAGCACAAAACAGACCTTTCAACAAAAAACCATAGACGTTTCCCCTTGATCTTCACCAAAAAAAGTTGTTGCTCCTTCACCAAAAAAAAAAAGCTACACACTCTAAACAAAAAGAAAAGAAAGAAGCAACAGCTGCGAAAATGGCATTTGAGCTCAAAGTTGGACAAAAATGGCAGATTCATTTTGTTGATCGAAGTCGGCCGAATTCCCCCATTTTGAACCTAACGCCTCTACCCTATCTCCATATTTGGACCGTCATCTTTCCATGATTCTTCTTCTCCTAGCTTTTCCCATTATTATCTTCAGGCCATGGACCTAAATCCTTAAATTCCAACAGCCATTTTTCCACAACACCTCACCCCTCTTCAAAAATAGTCCACTTTTTCACATAACGCAGCAGCAATTTCGAGCTTGAGTTTCGTCGAAGTCGTCGATGTAATTTTGCGGTCGATAGGTGGTCCGTTCGTTGGTTCCGTTCTTAGTCAAATTAATATTGAAGGCGACAGTTTTCTCATTTGAGAATTGCGAGCAGAAGCATATTCCATTGGAATAGAACAAGTAAGTTGCTCTGTTTTTTTTTTCTTTCCAGGCAATTCAAGATAATGGATTATTTTGTAGAATTATTATTTTGTTTTAAAACAAAATAGTTCTTGTGTGTTGCTGACTTATTGTTCCGGCTAATTAGCTTGGAAAATGGGTTCTGTTAGTTATATATATTTTTTGTAATTTTTCTAGCTGAATATACTGAAACTCATTGCTAGTTTTGCTTATGACTTTTAGTGTTAATCTCAATTTTGCGCATAAATCAAGGGAATGTTGCAAGCTCAATTATTAGTTCTGGCAATTTATGGGTAAACGTGCTTCTTGGTTATACGTTTCTAATCCAGATTTTAATTTTTGTTCTTTTATGTTTGGTGATCTATTTTTGTAAAATGCCTAATACCGTAATAGTCCTTTGCTTTAAAAATAAGTGTTGGCATCCCGCTGTGAGTTGTCTTCCTTGCAATCAACGAAATAGATTATAACCAAAAAACAAATACAATGCGAAATATTATGACAATTCATCAAATGATAAATTTGCTGATATCGCATGTTCATGTATAGCTTATTCCTAATCTTATAGTTTCTGATCCTATTTGGCTATTTGCATCTCTTGGTTCATCAATTGCTCTCTAATCATGATTTGACAAATGAACCAAATTGTATTAGTAGTGTTTCTACTTGCCTAGCTTTACACTTTACAATTTGGTGTCTCTGATGGCAAAAGTCTAGCTTTTGTTTCTTATACGTAGGCTACGGGTACGGTAGTCGTGACGTAGTCATTAATTAAACTCGGGTGTGCATTTCATGTGACCCTACCATAATTTTGAATAATGATAATAGAAATAAACATGTTATAAATCCGGGTGTGCATTTCATGTGACCCGACTCTAATTTCCAACAACGTTAAATAGAACGTGTCGCGAGCCGCGGGTAGATTTCATGTGGCGTGGTTCAAGGCATGTTTTAAATAACGTTGAATCTTCCTAAAATAATCAAAAGCGGTTAATGAGTTTAAAAAATGCACAATAGGTTTAAAACATGTAATAAATCGGATAATAGGCCAATTGTAATAGTTTGAGCGACCGTGCTAGAACCACGGAACTCGAGACTGCCTAACACCTTCTCCCGGGTTAACAGAATTTCTTACCCCGATTTCTGTATTAGCAGACCGTAAATAGAGTCAACTTCCTCAATTCGGGATTTGAACCGGTGACTTGGGATGCCATAAATTTCCCAAGTGGCGACTCTGAATCTTTTAATAATTAAATCCTGTTTCGACTGTCCTTAAATTGGAAAAACTCCCTTATACCCCTTTTCGGGGGTGTAGGTAAAAAGGAGGTGTGACACCGACAATTCACATAAGTCAAAATACATCATATAGAGCTACTCACACCCGTAAACTATCGAGCGTCAAAATACATCATACAGAGCTACTCACGCCCGTAAACTACCGAGCGAAGTGCAAATGCTCAAAACGACCAGTCGGGTCGTTACATCCTCTACCACTTAAACATATGTTCATCCTCGAACGTGCCAGGAGTCATTCTGAAGCTATCAAATCATGGTGTAACCTTACTAAGCATAAACCTGGGGGTGATCCCACGTCAACCTGCTCCATATAAGCCCGCCAACACAACATAACTAGAGATTATTACTTCAACCTTGGTCCTTAAATCTTAGAACCCAATCTCTATCATCCAGAATTCATTATGAGACCCGAATCCCTCATCTGCGCATTGTATAAGCCTGAACAAGCTGTATCTAGTCATAACCATAACCCAGGATGTAATCAAATGAGATACCCCATTAATTCGGCACTCACAGTAGGAACTAATGACCACCATTACTGCCCATAAACAAATCCGGTGCCGGTAGCAAACCTCTTATCGGTTAGAACCTCGTTCAAAACCTTCATACCCTACCAATGATAAACGAAACACGCATAACCGCTTAAACACTTATCTGATCATTAAGCCAAGAAACTCACTCGCCCGACTAGGGCCATTGTCCAAATCCTCAACAACATATAGTATTATTCTTCCAAACCTCCCTCATCCCAATAGAATAGTGCAAATCTCTGGTCTGGAAACCTCATCTCAACCAATACAAGCAGCCCCACCGATAAGTGCCAACAATAATCATATGGAGCCTCACACAACCCGATTCCGTGCACCAATAATTAGTAATTCAGACATGACAGATAATAGTAAAAAAACTAAATAAGAAGACTACTAAGCAAGTTAAGAAGACAGGGAAATTTTAGCATTTTACTATGAACTATCTTCAATAAGGTGAAATCAAAATACACGAAATAGGAATAAAGAGTCACATTTCATCATTGTACCGTTGTGTGCGTGCAACCCGATCCCATCACATCAATCCACATAGGGTACCCATCGAGCCATAATACTCGGGCTCACTTATCACATGTCCGTAATACAGAAGGGCTCGCCTGTGCCAAGCAGACTTGGTAACGGAAGCAAAACTCCAAGATAACGGAATCAAGCCCCCTGCTCAATGAAAACGGGCTCAAAGTGAAGAGGTAAGTGTAAATGTACGTAAAACCCTTCTTGGAGAAGGTCACCCGCTTCGCTAGGTCAGCAACGATGATGTTCAAATCTTGACAACCAGTCTTCCTTCACAGCTGGGATGCTGAAATGATGGATAGAACAAGGATATACACCTACAACCCATATGTAGGGATTAGCAGTGAGGTACTTCTCTTCGAAGTCCTTAGTTGTAGTAAGCCTTCTGGGATAATGGTGCTCACCGTAGAAGGAGCAGTATCATCGGTGTTTTCTTTGTTCTTTGAAGAACTAGAGTTTCTAGAAGATGAGGCCATAATTAGCAGAAGGAAGAAGTATTTCTTTGAAGAAGGAGGTTAAAAGTAAAGGTGAGCGGAGTAAAGAAAGTTTGAGAGAGTTTGAAAAATTATGAAGTGTAAGAGAACAAGATGGAAGCGTATAAGTAAAGGAATAGGCGGCTAAAATCGTGGCCATGACTACCTTGAGAACCAGTGAAAGTATTGCTGAATCGTGGGATGACGCGTGTTCGGGGCATTAAATGGGGAGATACATGCGTCTAATCAAGCGTCAGAAACTTTTCAGAGGGAGTCAGTAAATTTTCCACCAAGAAAGGTATTTTTACCAACTTCCCGATGACACAGGGATGTACTACAGGAAAGTAGGGGGACTATCTGTATATGATAAAATTGGTTCATATTAAATGCTCATGTAATAGAGTGACACGTGGAACAAGAAATAAATGAAAAGCAAGACAGGTGAAAGTGAAGATCAGGGGCAGCAGTCTCGGCTGGCATCGGGAAGCCCGCAAAGGGAATGTTACTCATGATAGGTGAATACCAGTCACCCGACAAAATTCAATAAAGAGTGTTCTGCAGTATTAAATACAATAATCAGTTATAGAGAATGTGACATTCATAGTCTGCCGTTACACATTATTCAATGCCCCCATAATTATCATTTAAGAGGGGCTTGATCCTAGGACGTTGTTATCTAGGTGCCACTGTAAATAAGGATTCCAACAACCATTGTAGCGATACAGATTTTCTAACAAATTTATACTATATAGTATTCAAAGCTCAATAACACTTTATTTTCTTGCTTCTTAATATCGTTATTTCTGCTTTCGGAAGCTCTGCTCCCGGAGCCAAACTATTTACTGTCTTATCTTGATTTCACGCTAAATCTTATATTCTTATTTAATTTATTTATCATTTTGGGATCAAATCGGTTCGTTTGTCTATAAACCACATATAAATTCAACTGTATTGTTTTACGAGTAAACAAAAAATTATTTCTTACACTATTATATTATATAGTAAAATAAGAAATATTTTCGCGTGACATATTCTCTAATCACAGGGAAAAAATATTCATATTATTATCATATTTTAGCTAGATGCACCTCATTATCTGACACAATTTGTTTAAAAAGGAATTGTCTTAATAGGACTGGTGGAAGTGTGTACTACACAGACTAGAGTGTACTACACAATTGAATGTGGCACCACATAATTTATGAAATTGCATAACTCATAATGTCGACACGTTGAAATCATTGAAAGAGCCAACATTTTACATCCCACAAAAGCAAAATCTAGAGAACTCCATCTTCGCTAACTTTCAGTAAACAAAATCAGAAGTCAGAAGTGATGATGATGGCCGCTACCACTGCTTCTGCTAATTCACTGAGCTCTGCTTTTCTTCCCCGCCTAGGTCAACTTTTTATTCCTTTTTTCTACCTTTTCTCACCCTTAAATGCAGTAGTTTGATGTTTTATTTATCAATGATGCAGGATTTCATGGGTCATCTCATCAGAGCCTACAATTGAGAACTCAAAAGGTATTTCTGGCGTATATATTTTAGATGACATAGCCAATAATAATTGTCTTTTCTTTGACTAATAAAGTTTACGGTGAAAACAGTTTGCAAGAAAAGCTGGTTCTGGCACAATAACAGCTAAATTTGAACTCCAGCCTCCTCCTTATCCCATGGTAATTTTTCAAACTTCATACACCTTTCTTTTTTTTGAGTTCATATGTTCTTAATTGTTTGGGTGTTGTAATGAAATAGGTCGAGCAGAATTGATATAGAAAATTTAAATAGCTCACGGGCCACGGCAACTATTTTGAGATTGAGGCGTTGTTATAATTGTTGTATTATGTGTTCCAAAATTTTTAACTAAACCTTGTTCCCGAGTAAGCATTTATAATTAGAAGCATAGTGACCTTAATGATGTAAAATGATGGACTCTATTCCTAAATCCATATAATCCAATTAGATGATACTAGATCTCAACTTTTGGGATTTAAGATCCCTCAAAGGAAAATGGTTTTCGTTGTGGCCTAAATGATGCCAATTTATTGCTCCTCATTTTGGGTAGGTTTGTCTCTCCAGCATGAAACTCTCCTATCATATATTTTCAGTTTTAGTGTAGGGTGTGAAGAAGTTCCATTGCATATCATAGTTTTCCTCTAAGATGAATATCATATTTATATCACTTAATGCTTATAGATATTTAAGAAAGTCATTTCAAAGTAATATTGTTCTCAAATCCTGATTCATTTGATGTATTTGACTGAGACATGCATATTAAGGCCTCTTAGGATTCATTTTTCACTTTTTGGAGCAGTTTAGTAGTAATAGTAGTAGTAGTAGTAGTAGTTGTTGTTGTTGTTGTTACTCGCTAATGATTTGTAGAAGGATGCAAATTTTACAATTTGTTAATAATGTAAAAACTCCCCCTCCCCCTCCCCCTCTTTGTTTCTCCCTCTTCTGCCGGCTTCTCTGTTAGTTCGGTCTGTCTTCTTCATACACTAATATATTCGACCTCTGAATATGACATAGGATGCTTTGGAGCCTCATATGAGTAGTAGAACATTTGAATTCCACTGGGGGAAGCATCACAGGGCTTATGTCGACAACTTAAACAAGCAAATAGACGGAACAGAACTAGATGGAAAGACACTAGAAGACATAATACTTGTTACATATAACAAAGGTGCTCCCCTCCCAGCATTCAACAATGCTGCTCAGGTAAAGCTACACTTCTCCCCTTCCCCTCCTTTTTTGTTTAACCACTTGAGAGGCTTCCCAAGTGGTTAATTTACTTGCCCAGTAAAGAGGTTTTGGTTATATACAATCAAGTACCTTATCAATGATTTCTGAATCGTTTTGGTATAGCCATAAAAGAAGTTTCTTTACAAGAGTCTAATATTTCATTTCTATATGCTCCAAGTCTTTGACGGAAACTTAAGATTTGATTGCTGTATTTGCTTGTAATGCACAGTTTTAAGCTATCAAAGTAAGGCATTGACTATAACAACTCAGTCTGTTGGTTTATGCAATAGACTGACTTGTTATACACAGGACTATAACTGTGGTTTATGCACTTTTGGCTATTTTTACATGTCAAGCGCCGACTTGCTGAGTCCTATTATATCTTCTTTCGCATTACAGGCCTGGAATCATCAGTTTTTCTGGGAATCAATGAAGCCCAACGGAGGAGGAGAGCCATCTGGTGAATTATTAGAACTAATCAACAGAGACTTTGGTTCCTATGATGCATTTGTTAAAGAATTTAAG